AGGTGCGTTTCCTCTAAGTCTTCCTACCAATATGACCAAGTTGCGAAAACAAGGTCAAACAAATTCTATATAATGAGTTTTTAACTCGTTAGCATGACATTTTGAAGCTCCAGTGTACAGCATTTATTAGAATGTTGCTGTACAGTCAACCCAAAACTGGCTCTAATGAATCCTCATTCGTCTTCTGATAGAAGCGACCACCGATTCTATTCATCGCAAACTTACATTTGACGTGGAAGTGAGCTCATCAGTCAAATAGTGCATAGAAGATGAGTAAGTTAATTTGACTGATTTCCATTATTCTATCCCCCAAAAGCCAATGGAGCGCGAACGGGACCGGCTGGAGAGCTATTCTCATAACCGAGCCAAGAGTAACAGTAGCATTACAGTTTCGTCAACTCCTGCTGGTGGCAGCACCATCGGTCCATCTCGTAGCAGCACCCTACCTCCTCTAAATGGCCAATCAGGGGGTGGCAATTGTAGTCCTGGCCTTCTAGTCTCTGGACCGTCTTCCGGCTCTAGCCTCTCCGCAAGCCTTGGAGGAGGGGGTGGCAACTGTTGCATTGGAAGTGCCGGTAGCAGTAGCAACAGTGTTGGTGGAGGTGGCCTGGGATCTTGCCAACAGATGGGGGGAGGCCGAGATATACGGCTTAGTTCTAGCGGAACAGGTGATTTTGGACCGGCCAATTTGGTTGCCTCCACCAAAATGTCTGGTGGCGGCAACAACAATTGTACTGTTCCCATGATCAATGCAGCAGTCAACCCTAGCTCTACGCATGCAGGCAACAGCACCAACATGAGCATCAGCAGTGGTGGTGTTGGTGTTGGAGGCGGAGTTGGGCCGAGTGGGGTTAGTGGAGGGGGTGGGTACCGGGAATTGCAGCCATTGGGCAATCTAGGCTACAATACTTACATCCGCTCGAGTCCACATCATTTCCAGACAAGTCAGATCAACGGCCTACTGCCGACGGCTGGTATCCAGCTGCTGATGCCTCCAACACCGCCGCCACCGCCGTCACCACAGCAACCCGTGCTAGTCCTGCCTGTTCAACAGGCGCTCCACCCTCTGCAGCCTTCTGGCGTTAGAGATCCAGCCTCCCATGATGGCTTTGTACGCTCCGGACCAGTCAGCGGACAAAGAGGCGGCAGACAGACGACGGGCGGCCTTCATTCTGCCCCCAAGGGGCACAACAGATTGGGTTGCTTCGGGGCAAATAACAACAACCTCAGCGCTGCGCAGCCGACTCCGCCTCCTCCTCCGCTATCCCCGGTAGGTTGTTGTTGTTGTTGCAATTTGTGGTATTGTCTAAGCAACTATTCTTGTCGACTATTAGTTAGTTTTGAATACCAACTTAGTAAGCATAAATAACTTAAAATGATTTAAAGTTTGATAGATGAGTTTTCCCCAAATCAGCTTGATTGGCCGCACGATGCCATTCATACAATCGTGGAAAAAAATCAACTGACAATTCCTAAATCACCTTAAATGGCTTACGGTGTTTAGATTCTTAGTTAACAATTGTTGAAATCTCAAATTTTACAAACATTTTTATATTTCCTTAATTTTTCTATTGAATGCAAGGACTAGCTTCGTTTCGGGCCGACTAAAGACTTACGTTACTCTATTAAACTGAAACTAAATTAAGATTTGAAAGGTTTTGCCTTGGGTTGCTTTCCTTACCTTTTGGAAGCTACTTTATGGGATCCAAACTGCATAGCCTTTCCCATCCCAACGGCTTTATGCAGACGTGCCCAAGCTAGCGGTAGAATCTTTTTAAAATCAAGCACAGTGTTCCAATATTGCAACTTTATGTCGAACATTTTCTCACCTTGAATAAGCTAAAATATTCTCTTTTGTGTGATTTCCAATGCTGTAACTTGAATCAATAAAAATAGCCGTAAAGTTTTATTGCAATAAGAGCTTTTTTATAAATAGTCTATGAATATTTTTCGAAGTAAGTATTGTTTTCGTGACTACCAGTAAATCAGTAATATGAGATGTATTCACACAATTTCGTTAAAGGTGATAAAGGACTGGTAGAAGAAGAATTTCCCAACAATGATATGAGTTGAGCTGACGTTTCCATTGAATTTAGCATAACCTTGCTTTCCCAAAAGTTGTTCTCATCTTCTTCTGCCAGTCCTTCATCACCTTAAGTGAAATTGGGTGAATACTGGTAGTCACTAAAACAATATTTAATTCGAAAAATAAAAGTATAGTAGTCGATTGTTATAGCAAATATACGTTTGCTTCATCGACTATTCCACCAAAAGAATATGATATGACAAAAGGCTTGGCCTTCCTTGTAATTCACATTGGCCCTGTGACCCAAGGACACTCGTGGCC